GTCCAGGCCGTAGATACCGATGCTGGGGTCATATTTGATCCCCAGGTCGATGTGTTCCTGGATCCCAAACCCAAAGTTTCCAGTATCGGAGAAGTTATTTTTCCGTAACTCGTACTCCCGCACCTGAGGAGAAAAAACAGCAGCATTCACATCCCTGTCCACATCCTCCTCAAAAGAAAATCCAGTCAGGCCGGTGGCACTTAGGGACCATGATGTGCAATCGGGAAGCCTGGATTCCAGCTCTTGTTAAGAAGAGGGAACCCCAGACAAAGTGGAGGCAGCACAACTCCCCTAAGCACCTTCTAAGCCACCCAAACAATGCTGGATGCAGAACCAGAAAGCCCTGTAACAGTTTCGGGGGGAAGTAGGGGGAGACGGAGCATGTGTTCAGGCACACAGGACAGCAGACAGAGCTTAGTCAGTATTGCCACTGTACCTTCAGACCTTTCTCCAAGATTTCCTCTGCCTTGGCCCCACGGACTGTGCAATGGACGGCAATTTTTTCATTTCTCCTAATGCCAAAGGATCTGACGGTGTATCTGGCTGTGGGAAGAAGGTACCAGTCAGGTGCTGTCACCCCCCAGGCACCTGCCTCATGCCCAGAACTGTCTCCCTCGCTGCGTGAGAACCACTCTCTAGTACAACCAGGGCTGCCTAGATCCGTACTCCGATCTCCTCGACTACCCGCAAAACCCAGTCTCCCCGTCCCTCAGCCAACCCACTGGGCCACCTGAAACAGGCCCCCTAGAAAGGAAGCTAGTCCTCGTGTTCTGGAATCTTCCTGCACCACGACCCCACTTTACAGAGGTTTGCTCTACTCCAACAGCCCAGAGCCATGACACCTTACAGCCAAACAAGTCACTTAACTTTTACACGTCTCCTGCTGTTCACACCCACCATCTCACTGGGTTCTCCACCCTCTTAGAGAGCACCATCTTTTTGCAGGAGGAAGGCCCAAAGAGCAAGGAGAATTCTAATTCAGGCCCAGGCTATCTGGGTACCAGATGTGCCCTACCTACCAATCACCAGGTTCAAATCCCCAACACTCCCACCGAGTGTCAATGGCAGTCTGCTGACAGCAGCAGGTAGCCAGGTGCCTGCTCCACGGAATGGAACCGCTTCCCTGCCAACGTTAGTAGCCAACTTGCACTCGATGCCCAGGGACCTCAGGCTCTAGGTGGCAAGCCTGTTACTTGAGCTAGCTTACCGACGAGCTTCATCTCTGCTCAAGTCAAGTATTCTCGCACGCCACGCCCGATCTTGAAAGAACGGCGGTTCGTGCATTTAGGTTTAGGGAATGAAGCCAGCCGCCGCCTTCAGACCCGGAACCGAACCGGGCAGGCCGGGCCGGAGGGCAGGCGAGTTAAGCCGCCGCCCCGCCACGACTCACCTTTGGAGAAGACGGGGGTCTGGCCGGTGAGCTGCTCCAGCACCTTGGCCGCCCGGGTCAGCCTGTCGCCGCTCTCCCCCACGCAGATGTTGAGGCAGAGCTTGCGGATGCGCAGCTCCCGCATCGGGTTCTCCTTTTCGCCTTGATCCTGCTGCAGCGGGGAGCGCGGCAGTCAGCACGCTGC